TGTTCTACCGACTACCTATGAATATACATTGAGTTTTATGTAGATTTAGTTTAAAGTCATTAGTGTCAAATTATAATCTACTTGTACAAGTGCATGTTGAGTGTTTCTTATTAATATATTTAATCTTTTTACTGAGTCACTATGAAGAAATTGTGAATCATCGGCGTACACAAGGTTGTTTTATGACATACCATTATTGATTCTTACCGATTGGGTCCTTGAATCTAAATAACTTTTAAACCAAAAGGTATTAATTTTATGATTTACTTACTTGTAAAAGAGAATTTCATGGTTGACACTATAGAAAGGTCGCAAAATGTGAGCAAATTTACCAAATTTTTGTCTATGTTATTATAAATCTCATTAGTAATTTGTAGCAAAAGCTGTTTCAGTTGATAACCTATTTCTAAAATCAAGTTGCGTTTTAGATAATAAGTTATTGGCCTCCAGGAAACTCGTCAGTTGATATGCTACATTTTTTAAAAAGAATTTTGGATAATATAGGAAGTATAGTAATTGGGCGATAATTATTGACATCGTCTATATCCCCCGATTTGAAGATTGGTGTTACTATACCATGTTTCCAAAGCGACGGAAAGACACCAGTGACCAGAGAGGTGTTAATAATGACCGTCAAATAATGTACAGTTGAGAGTAGACTATCTCTGATAAAGCGCAAAACAATAACGTCTGTTCTTACATCATTTGATTCGCGAAGGTGCTCTATTACTAAGATGATTGTTTCCACTGGTTGTGGTCTAAAACAAATAGTTGTAACCCTTGCCCGATCTGTGTTTTGTTGTAATGTAGAAGCAATTGTTTGTCCAAAAGTTAGTTTTCCAATTTCTGAAAAGAAGTCTTTAAAATGCTTTGTTCTTTTTATGTGACTTGTATAATCACTAGTGAGGTGTTTCTCGTGAGGTACTAGTGTTCTTATATTCTGTGAGTTTATTTCGGAAATAATATCTTGTTGCACATTGACTTAGCAATTTCACATTTTTCTTTTTTACTTTGCAATCTACCTGAAAGGCGGACTCATTTCTGTTACGTTTAAGAGCTTGGTGAGCATTATTTCCATCGCTAATGGCTCTCCTGATGGCATTTATCCATGGAGCAGGGGAACGTCTGACGGTTCGTGTTACGTAGGGAGTCAGTGCATCAATGTTGCTTTTAATAACTTTCGTGAGAATAGTTACTTGATTACATTATGTCGATGAAATATTTAATAAAGTCATTTCTTTAGACAAGATGAGCTCGTGATAAGTTCATGATCAGCAACATTCCGATGGAGAATGATGTTTGATCTGTTAGTTATTATTAAATCTAATAGAAAAGAGTTGTTTTCTGTAATTCGTGTAGGTTAATCTACTATTTGTTCTAATTTATTTTCCTTAATTATCTTAGCTAACCTAGCATTAGATTTTGTTAACTCATCATTTAGGTCACCCAAGATGAAAAGCGGTT